GACACACCTCCTTTAAACAGACTCCGCCTCTGACACATCTCCTTTAAACAGACTCCTCCCAGACACCCCACCATTTAAATAGACTCCTCCCTGACACACCTCCTTTAAACATCAGACTCCACCCACCCCTCCATTTAAACATCAGGCTCTGCCCCGACCCAGCTACATTAAGGCATTTAAGGCTTTGGGGTCCAGGTGACCCGAGGTCCAGGGTCCAGACATCTCCTACTGAGGTTCTGGTATTTGTGTCTCCTCTCTGATGTTTGTGCTTCGCTGCTTTCAGCTGGCGGCTCTTGAGTTCCCACCAAAGAAACTGTTTGGAAACAGAGACGAGCGAATGGTGTCGGAGCGCCGGAGTCACCTGGAGGTAGGACCCATTAAACCCACCTGGACCGCCTCCCTGATCCTCAAGACCGCTGTCCTGTGGGCTTTAGATGTTCTGGTGCAGCACAGCTGGGTTAAATGACCGGATGGATTAATATTTAGTTAAATTAGAGACCGTGATGATTTAAATTAAAGATCAGCAATAGGTATGAAACATAATTTATCATTTTAGTTTATTAATTTTATGCACAGAATCATAAAAAATACAAAGTAATAGATGAAGCAACAAACTGATAAGTTTAACTCTGAATCATGTGTGAACGTTAAAAACACAACGAGTTGATCTGGGTGGTCATAATGTTTTGGTTTGCTCCACAGGCGTACCTCAGGAACGTGTTCCGGGTCATGCTGTCCTCCTCCCGCTCTCCTCTCCGGGCCGATGAAGACGGCCTCTTCCATCTGACCAAACTGGACGTCTGCGAGTTCTCGCCGTTCTTCAAGAAGGGCGTTTTCGAGTCCAGCAGCCACGGTACCGGCTGACCCGCCTCGGGTCCAAAATGGAACAAAAAGAAAGGACCAGCAGTGGGGGCGGTCCTCAGAGACGGTTTCTCCTCAGGAGGAGGAGGTCAGTAGCTGAACACCTGCTGCTGATGGTTCTGACTGCCAGGCTCATCGGGTCCAAACGGGTTCTTCCGCTCTAGATTTAAAGACGAGTTTTTAAACTGAACGTGGTGGTGACGCTTGATCTGAAACTTTCAGTTTGGACCAGAACCGCCTCAAACCTTCAGGTTCTGCTGCTGCCTGACGGGTCGATAAGCAGCTGCAGATGATGTCAACGTTCTGAGTCCATCACAAAAACCGGAACGGAACGTCCTGAATAAATATTTCACTTCGTTATAAAACTTCAGATTTGATTCATCTTTTGTTTTTATTCAGAAATCTGTGACTTTATTCTGAAAACAGGAAATTGTTCCATCAGAAGCTGAAAACAAACAGGAAGTGACAGGAAGTTTAACAAAGCCGTGTTTTGGTTTTACAGTAGTCCCTCGTTTATCACAGGGGTTTCGTATCCCCACCCCCCACCCCGCATGCGATAAGTGAACAACCGCGAAGTAGGGATAGTAGCACAAATAGCTTAGTAGTAGTAGTTTATTTTAGTATTTATATATATAAATATATATATGTTAAGGCTTTATAAATCCTGCCCACACTTGCAATATTCTTAACAATGTTTCTAAACTCTAAACGCTCTAAAAGACTGAATGTCATGATCTCCACTCTCTGCCACGCTGCAATCACACTCATCACCTGTTACTCCCAATCTCCCTCCTCCTGTGTAAATAAACAATTAAAATTTAAATACTGTAATAGTTTAAATAAACAATCCATGCAGCATGGATTGTTTATTTAAAATATTACAGTATTTACACCAAAGTTCATGCTCAATACTGGGATTATAGTATTTAAATTTAAATTGTAGAGAAGAGTAGCAGGACAGCACCTTCAGCATCGGATGCAGCACGGAGCAGAAATGTACTTCTTGATCAATTACACTGTAACAACTGAACATAGAAGTTCTAAAATAATAAAAAATAACTTTTTAACACATATTTTGTGATTATGACGATTTTACGATGCGACATACTTTGAATTTTAAGTTGGAAGACAAAAGTCGATCGGTGCATCTGGACAGCAACCGCTTCTTCCTCTTTGGGTCGCGGGGGTCACTGGTGCCCATGTTCAGCAGTCACTGTGCAAGAGGCGGGGGACACCCTGGACAGGTCTCCAGTCCATCACAGGGACACATAGAGACAAACGAGGCAAACAACCATTCGCTCTCTCTCACCTAGGGACAATTTAGAGTTACCAGTCAGCCTAACATGCATGTTTTTGGTCTGTGGGAGGAAACCGGAGAAAACCCACGCATGCACCGAGAGAACATGCAAACTCCACCCAGAAAGGCCCCGGATCGGGATTTGAACCAGGGTGACCTGCTCGCTGAGAGGCAGCAGCTCTACCATTTGCGCCACCGTGCTGCCCATGTGCTAAATCTTTTTTTTTTTTAATCCATGCGGCTCATCCTTCAATCAGCCGTGTGTCATGTCCAGTCTTACTTTGAAAAACCACGAAAGAGCGAGTCCGCGAAAGTCGAACGGCGAAGTAGCGAGGACTGTACAACATTTGTAACAAGTTAAATTATTCAACCAGTTCTCTGACATGTTTTAGGAAACATTTATCTTCAGCTCAGAAAATAAAAACACCCTGAGACACAAACGGTCAGATTATCAGATTAACACATTATTTCTGTCTTTATAATTTTATAAACATTCATCGTTGGGTTCGGTTCTGTTGACCCAGCTGAAACTGGAGCAGAGAAACCACGGCTGACAGGATTATTAAAAAGAAGGTTTGTGGGACTGTGGGCAACCTACCGGGACACGGACGAAAGAGGAAATGCGACCCCAGACTGATCAGTGAGTTAAGGGTCCAAAACCATTTAAGGTCCGAGGTTGTCCCCTTCTGATGGAACCACCCATCACTTCATGAATCATAAATTATGGAAGACCAGTAGGACTTCCAAGAGTCCAGGACCAGTCACCTGGTTCAGGTGTTGGTGGACCAGCTCAGAGATCTGGTTCAGGCGTCGTTGGACCAGCTGTCTTCAGGCCCTGCTCGGCAGTTTCAATGGGGAGGTGGCGCAGCGGGCGTCCAGAAGCCTCCAGCTGCTCCTTCCAGCTGTGTAGCAGCTGGTCGTACTCCTGCAGATCAAACGTGGACGCCATCACAGACAGGAAGTGAATCAGGACAGCTTGGCGTTAAAATCCCTTACCTTGCATTGTTGGACGAGGTCCTCCTTCAGGGCCTCCATGGCGACCCGTTTGGACTCCAGAGTTTCCTACAAGCAGACAGTTTTCAGGTGTGTGATGAAACCCAAACCCGTTCAGACAAACCTGCGTCTCCTCTGACCTCCAGCTGGTTGGCGGCGGTGCTGCGCACCCTCGGGTCAATGTTGGACACAGACAGAGTGGCGCTGAGCTGCGCCTCCTTCTTCTCCAAGGTTTCTGTGAGAACAGCCAGCTTCTCCTCCAGGACCATCTTCTTCAGCCCTCTCCTCTGCTGCACCTCCAGGAGACTCTTCGTCTGCTGCCTCAACAGCTCATCACGCTCCTGCTGGACCTGCAGGGAGGTCAGGACTCAGCTGGATGACAGGAAGGAGGAGCTGAACGAGGAGAAGGAGCAGCTGGGTGACAGGAAGGACAAGGAGAGGATGGATGACAGGAAGAAGGAGCCAAATGAGGAGGAGCAGCTGGATGACAGGAAGGAGAAGGAGAGGATGGATGACAGGAAGGAGGAGCCTAATGAGGAGGAGCAGCTGGATGACAGAAAGGAGGATGAGCCTAACGAGGAGGAGCAGCTGGATGACAGGAAAAAGAAGCCTAATAAGGAGGCGGAGCTGGATGACAGGAAGGAGGAGCCTAATGAGGAGAAGGAGCAGCTGGGTGACAGGAAGGAGAAGGAGCCTAAAAGGAGGAAGAGCAGCTTGATGACAGAAGGAGGAGGAGAGGATGGATGACAGGAAGGAGGAGCCTAATGAGGAGGAGGAGCAGCTGGGTGACAGGAGGAGGAGAGGATGGATGACAGGAAGGAGGAGCCTATTGAGGAGGAGGTGAAGCTGGGTGACAGAAAGGAGGAGACTTATGAGGAGGAGTAGCTTGATGACGGGAAGGAGGAGGAGCCTAATGAAAAGGAGAAGCCTGATAAGTAGGAGGAGCAGTGTACCTCCTGGAAGGCCTGCAGCAGCTGCTGATGTTCCACAGTCAGATCTCTGAGCTGCTGCTCCACCAGCTGCAGGTGAGCGCGGTGCTTCTGTTCAACACATCACCTTCATCATCATCATTAACATCACCTTCATCATTAATATCATCATCATCATGAACTTCATCATCGTCATCACCTTCATCCATAGATTCAATATTTATCAGGTAATGGATGAAGTGAGCAGGATGTTCTGGATGTTTTACTGAGCGGACCTCCATCTCACCTCCATGATGTCTATGGCCCGGTTCTGTCTCGGCAGATTAAGCAGCTTCTGTTGGGTCTCTTGCAGAACCTTCTTCAGACGTTTGTTCTCCTTCTGAACTGCTGGAAGCTTGTTGTTCCAATGGACCTTGTGCTTCTGCAGCTCCGCGTGCTCTTTCTGACAGAAGACAGAACCAACTGAAACCATGGAACAAACTGGGTCCTGTTGATAAACACCAAACAAACCGGGTTTGACTCGGTACCGTCTGTAGTAACAGACCCGCCAAAGAAAAGTCCAGCTGTTAAACTGGAAGAATTAACGACCCGTTTTCATGTTCTGAGAGGTTCTAGTTTAAATGAAAGAGCTGGAATGGGAACAGAACCACCGCGGTAACAAACAGAACCTCAGAGCCCTCAGCTGGACTCTCCTAAATGTTTTGGTGTCGTGACTCTTCTGTTTAGTTCTGGAGATGAAATGTGGATCAGAACTTTGTTCTCCTTGGTTCTGGAGGTTTGAGGAGTTGGTGTTTGCTGAACTCACCTCCAGTATCTGCCGCTTATTCAGCAGTTTCCTCGGAACTTTACAGACGTACTCTTGAGTCTCTCTCAGTATGCGGTCCTGGTGCTCCACCACAGACGTCATGCGACTCTTCATCTGCTCCTCCAGCTTGCTGACCTCAGACGACCACCTCTTCTCCTCCGCCTGGACCAGAGCCTGCATCCTGTGGTGGTACTTCACCTCCATCTCTGGGGAGGAGAAGCCAGGAGAACACGGAGGAGATCAACGGGTTGAGAAGTACGAGAAGTTGGGAGGAGGAGAACCAGACGAAGAACCGACCTCTCAGCCTGCGGTCATGCATGTTGTTGAGCTCCATCAGCTCCACCTGGTGTCTCTGAGGAGGAGAAGAAGGAGGTCACTCAGAGGAAAAACCCAGCCTTCAACGTTGAGAACATCATCTCACCAGCTTCAGCTCCGTTATGGAGCACTCCTCGTTGAATTTCTTCTGCCTGCGGTCCATCTGCAGGTTCTGGACGTCTCTGCGCAGCCCGAGCTCTGACTCTGTGTTCTGGTCCTGGACCGTGGAGACAGAGGAGACGGTGTCCATCTTCATCTCACTGACGGTGTTGTGCTGCTCGGACAGGACGTGCTTCAGCTTCTGCTTGTAGATCTGGAACCAAACAGCAGGTCTGAGCAAAACCAGGTACTCCAAAGGAACCTTAAGAGACAGGTCTGGGTCCAGGGTAAAGTCAGGTCAGAGTCCAGATTAAAGTGTTTTATTGACAGTATATTTTAATGAAGGTATTTTGGTGGTTGAAGTAATGGTATTGTTGTTTGTGGGTTTGAGTCGGGTCAGAATCTACAGCTCACAGTGATCTCCGCTCGGTGGCGCTCCTCGGCCTCGTCCTTCTCTCGGACCCGGTTCCTCAGCTCTGACTCAAACTCCTCCACGTCCCTCTTGTAGATCTCCCAGGAGGCCCGGATCTGGTCCCTCTCCAGCTGGAAGAAGCTCCTCTCTTCGCGCTCCCGGTCCAGCTCCTCCCGGAGGAGAACGATGTGCTCCTCCAGCTGCATGGAGACACGGTTTCATGAGGACCGGTTCATTTGTTCTGAAGCTTCTAATAGGTTCTGGTCTCTTTGAAGACTTTAGGACCGGGTAATATATTTTAATATCTTTAAATTCACATGTTTTATTTAGTTGTTTGTTCAGGTGAATGCTTGCAGCTCTGCAGGTGTCCAGCAGGTGGCGCTGTTCACAGAACAACAAACGATTGTAAAATTACGGGTTCGATCCCTGGTGGCACCGACCCAATGTATTTAATTCAAATAATGTTTGGTCTGATGAGTTAATGTTTCAGGTCCAAACAGACCCGAACCGGACTGTGAACCCAGTAACTGATGCAATAATATATATACCTAACATAACTTAGCCATGTTAGCATCGATAGCTCTGACCTGATCCTTTGACATTTCCTCAGTGGAGAAGCTGCCCATCGCCGCTGAGAGCTTCCCTTTCTCATCTTTCTTCTGTTTCGTCTTCTTCGGCTGAAGAAGAAGAAGAATATGCAGGCTCGTCAGAACCATAGATGGTCAGAACCGGAAGCCGGTTCCCGTTAGCTCTCTTAGCTGATGCTAGGCTAACATGCTAACATGCGCATCTACATGAGCCATAAACCGGTTAAAAATAAAACGTTTTATTTAACCGGAAGCTTTTACTCACCATCGTTTTACACCGAGCGGCTTTACTGAAGCAGATGTGATTAAAAATAAAAAAACGATTAACCGCCCATGTTTATCTGTTTCTGTCGGTTTTTATCAGTTGGTTTCCTTTTAGTCTGAGAAGCAACACGACGCGCTGCCATGGCAACGCAGTCACGTGATCACTTCAAAAATGAAGCTCTGGTCTTCAACCGTTATTTGTACAGGTTAGTCTCACTGAGTCTCGAGGACTCGTTTACGAGACTTGTTTTTTTAACAAAGAATGATGACAACAGTAGACAATCATAAAGGAAGGCATATAAATTGAAAAAAATAAATGGAAGAAAATTATATAAATTTAAAAAAAAAACATTTGTAATACAGTATACACTGATCTGTAATAAGTTTCAGGACAATGTTGCCCTCAAACTCAGGATGAACAATTGCTCATCAAACATTCACAATTTGAAATAAACTCAATTTATTTTATTTATACTTTCCAAAAAAGTGCTGACTTGTTTTCAAACCCAGAAGAACACACATTCCAGCGCGTTTTATTTAAAAAAAATAAACACGAGAAAAGATCAGGAGCTGCTGCTGAAACAGCTTGATTTAGGTTAATCATTAGTCCAAAAAAGTAGAACAAAATGTCATAATTTTATATTGTGCAGGATTAATGTGTCCTCAACCTGAAAACTTGTGGCCAGCTGCCATTTACCCCAGCCGAAGGTGTTTGTTCACCAACAAGAGCAGCCGAAGGTGTTTGTTCACCAACAAGAGCAGCCGAAGGATGTTTGTTCACCAACAAGAGCAGCCGAAGGATGTTTGTTCACCAACAGGAGCAGCCGAAGGATGTTTGTTCTCCTACAGGAACAGGCGAAGGATGTTTGTTCTCCTACAGGAACAGGCGAAGGATGTTTGTTCTCCTACAGGAACAGCCAAACTAACTGTAAATATGTCAGTAATGGTGGTGTCCATGGCGCTGTTTGGGACGTCGGACTGTTTTGACGTGTCGGTTTGTGTTTCACCTCAGATTTGTTTAGCAAGTTTAGCTAAACCGTCTCAGAGATTATTCATTGCTCTGATGGTTTACAGACCCCGGTCTGTCAGTCATGTGACTCGTGGTTTTTGGTGAAATCAGCAAAGTTCTTTGTTTACGTTGTTTTTTTGTTTTGATAATTTTAATTTGTTCTCTCAACTCCTAGAATTTTATGTTTTTGTGGATTTGCGTCATTTATGTAACCTGCCTCCCCTCAGTATGATTCTGCCACTGCCGTGCTTTGCTATGAACATTTTAGACAAAATTAGTTCAAACAGGAAGTGATGGTCTTGATGACAGGAAGTGGAACTATGAGGAAATATTTTCCTTAGTTATTTATGGCCTCAACAAATGTTTCTATAAAAACCACAGAGGAACAATTTCTGGTTCCAGATGTTTGTTTGGACAGAGTTTATTTTCCAAAACAACATTTTAAAACATTTACATAAAAATAGCAGTTTGTTTCTGCTCTGTCACAGAACAGACAGAACTTCCAGGTTTCAGATGTTCAGGAACTCTCATTCACTCTGACTGCAGGTTTTTAAACAGGAAGTCACAAAGATGAACTTCCTGTAACATTGTCACCTCGGGCCGGATCCTTGGGATCATTTCAGAACCAAGAACTGGTTCTGAAGTCCCTAAACCCAGGAATCTGACTCGGTGGCAGGGTTAGGGTCTATCCGAGCCGCTCTGCTGGTTGATCCTGGACAGATCTTCGAACGACACCGTCGCTGATCCGCGCTTCGAGGGTTTCGCCTAAAAACAAACACTTTGAATCAGTTCTTCAGTTTCTGTGAAGATGGACCCAAACAAGGTTCTGATGGACATTCTGTCATGTTTGTGTGAGAATCAGAATCTAAAAACGTTCTTCGGTTCTGCTGGAGTTCACCGTCAGAACTCAAACACACCGCACCCCGCTCAGGAGGTCCTCACCTGAGACTCATGAGGCTTCCAGCCAATCATGAAGAAGATCTGGAATCTGGCAGGAACCGCGCCGTCATCGCTGCCAAACATCTCTGAAACAAAGGGTTCAGATCAGAGTGCTGCTGGGTCCAGTTCTACCAGAACCGACCTGCATCAGATTCTGATAGAAGTTGTTCTAAATGCTCATCTACAGGTGGGCCTCCTGCTGAGGACCTGAGGTCCGTGGCACTCGTCAGGATGTGGAACGTTCCACTTCCTGCCTGGGGAGGAGGGAACAGGTGTGGTGGCTCTCAGGTAATCAGGAAGTTTGTTTTAGGATGAAAACTTCCCCAACAGGACGTGGAACAAACTGACTGCAGCTTCTAATTTGAAATAGTTGCTCTGCAGGAGGTGATTACCCAGCATGCACCACGGTTGTCGTGGTAACAAAGGCTCCTCACCTTTATAAACAGCAGCAGCAGCTAAGATGGAGTCTCTGTGCAGCAGTGACTTCCTGTTCCAGGCACAGTTACTCTCCCCCATCCCTGCAGACACACATCACAGCTGCTCTGAACTCACATGCACATCACTCTCCCTGCCATCCCTCCTGAAGGTCAGCTGGGTCTTTGTTGGTCTGGTTCACAGAAGCTGATGTTCTGGTCCAGGTTGCAGCTTCATGAATGTGACCAGAACATGCCATGTGCTTCATATCCTCGGCAGGGAGGGAAAGGAGAGGGATCTGCCTGTGAGTTCAGCTCAGAGAATTTTTTCAGTTTGAACGTTCTGAAACCCAAACTGTTGAAACAAAACCGAGTGAAACTTTGGACTCATCAGAACATTTTCCGAGTCTTCATCTCTAAAAGCAGCTCTTTATCACCTCATCTTCATCATGTCCACTGATTCATCTCCGCGTTGCAGGCCGAGACGTCACGTGTCGAGATGTTGGACATCAGAGGTTCAATTTTATTTTAACAGACTTTCTGCAGAAACTGAACGTGTTCAGAGAGCAGGTCGTACCTTGGAGGTCCATCAAGACTTCCATGATTCCTGGATAATGGACCTGAACGGTATGTGTGTCCTGAAAGACACAGAGGACAGGGGACATTAGGACAGCGGACATTAGGACAGAGGATATTAAGACAGGGGACATTAGGTCAGAGGACATTAGGACAGGGGACATTATATATGGGGATATTAGGACAGAGGACATCAGGACAGGGGACATTAGGACAGAGGATATTAAGACAGGGGACATCTGGACAGGGGACATTAAGACAGAGGGCATGAGGACAGAGGACATTAAGACAGGGGATATTAGGACAGAGGACATTAGGACAGAGGACATCAGGACAGGGTACATTAAGACAGAGGGCATGAGGACAGAGGACATTAGGACAGAGGATATTAAGACAGGGGACATTAGGACAGAGGATATTAAGACAGGGGACATTAGGACAGAGGATATTAAGACGGGATATTAGGACAGAGGACATCAGGACAGGGTACATTAAGACAGAGGGCATGAGGACAGAGGACATTAGGACAGAGGATATTAAGACGGGGCATTAGGCCAGAGGATATTAGGACAGAGGACATTAGGTCAGAGGACATTAGGACAGAGGACATTAGGACAGAGGACATCAGGACAGTGTACATTAGAACACAGGGTATGAGGACAGGGGACATCAGGACAGGGGACTCGTGGCTCAGATTCTATCAAAAATCGAAGCAGTTTGTAAAAAATTTGAATAATAAAAATATTTAAAAAGTATAAAAGTTCAAACTAAAACAAGAATAAAGAGAATAAATAATGAGAGTTGATGTGTGAAGGAGAGATGATTGACAGAACCAGAACCAGAACCCGTCTCACCACGGTCAGCATGTTGAAGCCCGCTTGGCCCATCAGGTTCCCCACGTCCGTGATGGCGGTGAAGGGGGACACGTGGGGGGAGAACCCCCCCTCCCGCTCCATCTCGGCCAGCTGCAGGGAGCAGCGCAGCTCGTAGAGCGTGTCCCCGCCCAGCATCGCCCCGATGAACACCCCGTCCGGCTTCAGAACCTGCTGGATCTGACAGAACCGGGCAGTTGGAGTCAAACCTTCTGCTCTGCCATCAGAACAAAAATCACTGAATGATGAGACGGAAGGTGGAGGTCACCTGTTTGAGAGCTCCAGGAAGATCGTTGATCCAGTGCAGACTGACAGAACCAGAACAGAACCAGAACAGAACCAGGTCAGAACCAGAACAGAACCAGAACATTAAGAGTAAAAACTTTTTTAAAATGACGAGTTTGAAGCTGATTTCTGCTCAAGCTGAATGAACGTTTCTGAACAAGTTTCCAGATTTAAACCCGGGTCACATGACACTGGTTCTAGTCGGTGACTCACAGAACTTTGGACTTTATGACCCAAACGGGTCGCTGCGACACACTGCAGAACCTTCAGGGCTGTCAGTAATGTTCCGAGCTTCTCTCCAGTCAACTTCAACCTCTGATGATGATGTTTCAGAGACCCAACAGAACCGAGGAAGGTTACTGCAGGTTCAGCAGAACTCTGGACTCACCTCAGGCTGCTCAGAACCAGGTCGAAGGTGTTCTCCTTAAACGGCAGGAACTCTTCATCGGCCAGAACCCTCTGAGTCTGGATCTCACTCGGCCTGTTGAGTTTCTGAATGTCAGAGAACAGGACAGTTCTGGTTCTGGTCTCTGTCAGTTCTCACAGTAAAAGGTTCTGTGGGTCAGAACTCACCAGAGTCTCCTGGGAGCTTTCTGTCAGAACCAGACGCTGCACCACATCCTGAAACACAGCAGTTACAGAGATGAAGTTACTGCTAGACCCAAAACCAGAATCGGGTCCTGACGGGTTCCACACCATCCCAGGTCCAGAACCCGAGCCTGATCCATTTCTCACTGGCGCCAAGAGTTATCCTCACCAGTTTCTCCTTAAACTAAAATAGAAATTCAGCTTCGTTTGTTTCTCATCAGATGAACTAAATCTGAATTTTAAACTTTAAATTAAAACTTGTCAGAAAATCATGAAAAATTATCATTTTCAACAGTTTTATTTTCAACATCACAGAGGAGCTGCTTTACTTTAGCTTCTCTTTGGCTGTTTCTCTTTAGCTGATTCGCTTTAACCGTTTTTCTTCAACCCTTTCTCTTTAGCTGATTCTCTTCGGCTGTTTCTCCATCCGTTTCTGTTTAGTATTTAAATCAAAGATCACCTTGTTTAAGTGCTTGGCGATGTGACTTTTCCCTGCTCCGATGTCCAGGGCCAGAGGAAATGTCCTGAGGAAGCATGAGGACAAATGTCTCACTTTTGTGGATTTTAAAGAAAAACTGTCTTTATCAGTTCAGACTAGCCTTTAGCTCATCAGTCCTGTCAGAGTTAAACTGCAACAGGTAAGATATTGACTGTTCATCTGTAATAGGTAAGATATTAACTGTTCATCTGCAACAAGTAAGATATTGACTGTTCATCTGCAA